CCCCAAAACCCCAAAACCCCAAAACCCCAAAACCCCATTAGGGGCTCATGAAGTTGAGCCAATGAATAAATTTCTTTTGATGATTCATAAATAGTTTTGAGGATGTTAGTGTAAAATCTATTAGAACAGGATACCAGATTCTTTGTATGACTCAGCAACTTTTTGGATAGAATTGGCGAATCCAGCGATTCTCATGTTAGTGTTCTTCTCTAAACTGATGTCAAAGTGAGTATGGATAGCATTGCTCATAATCTCTTCAAGTCCCGAGTAAACAAGATCAATTTCTTTAGCTCCTCTAAGCACGTGAGATTTCTCTTCTTGTTCCTTTGTTAGATCCTCTCCCTTAATGAATTCATAGAGGTCTTTCTTGGAAGTAGCTTCCCATCTTCTTGTCAATTTACCTCCACTTACGTGTTGAAGATTCTTCAACCACTCGAAGTAAGATACGGTAACACCACCAGCGTTGAGGATAAGATCTGGAATATTGATGATTCCTTTCTTCTCGCAGATTTCTTCTCCCCAAACAGTTGTTGGGCCGTTAGCACCTTCTCCAATTACCTTACAGTTCAATTTTGGAGCGTTATGCATGTGGATTGACTTCTCAACAGCACATGGGAGCAAGACATCGCATTCCTTCTCAAGATATTTAGCTGGATCTTCAACTTCAATAGAATCAGCGTGTGGATAGTTCTTGAGAGTACCTTCATTTTTCTGCCATTGGATAACATCTTCAACATCAAATCCATCCTTTTTGTGCAAAGCGCAGTCCCACTCGACAATAGTGGTGATCTTACCACCGTCATGAGTGAAGAATCTAGCAGCCCAAGATCCTACTGCTCCAAATCCTTGGATATTGAAGGTTTTTCCATCAATTCCAGCTTCAAGCCCTGCTTTTTCACAAAAATCTTTTCTATTAAGCAACTCTCTGACTCCATAATAGACTCCTAATCCAGTGGATTCAGGTCTTCCAGCGATACCTCCATGCCTCTTGAACTTCCCAGTAACACATCCTTCGGCATTGATGTCTTTGTCTCCATAAATACTAGTGTAGGTATCCTTCATCCAAGTCATTACTTGTTGGTCAGTTCCCATATCTGGTCCAAGGACGTCGATGGAAGGTCCAATAAATCCTTTCTTAGCCAATTCATGAGTGTATCTTCTGGTGACTCTCTCTAATTCAGCTTTGGAGTAGTTTCTTGGGTTGATTCTGATTCCTCCTTTAGCTCCACCGAATGGCACATCGGCAGCAGCAAGTTTGAAGGTCATTAAGGAAGCCAAAGCTTCAACTTCAGAAATAGTGATGTTATCAGCGTATCTTGTACCTCCCTTGACTGGAAGTCTATGATGAGAGTGCTGGGCTCTATAACACGACAAGATCTCCAAAGTTCCGTCATCTCTTCTGAGAGGAACGTTGAATCTGACCATAGAGTTGCATTCCTTAATCAAACTCAATAAACCGTCTGATACATTTGTGTATTTAGCTGCCTTGTCAAAGTGCATCTTGACCATTTCCAAAAATCTTGGCTCTTCTGGCATTCCTCCTGAAGTAGTAGCTATATTAGTCGTTCTCTGATAACTTACTTGATGTACACATAGTTCTGGTACCGACCTTTGGGATGGTCTTAGATACGAGTTTCTGATTCGCTTTGCTCAACATCTTTTAATAAGATTATTCTTAAATATAATTTAATTTTCACCTTTTAATATTATACGGGGTTTTGGGGTTTTGGGGTTTTGGGGTTTTGGGGTTTTGGGG